CTCTATGTCTACTGCCCAATCAAAAGTTTCATCCCACCATGTCTCCATTAGGCCAACCAGGTCGATTTTACTGCTTGCAAGCAGGAGAGCAACCTTCTCCTGCTTGTTCTCCATGCTTCTTGCATTAGTGAAGAGACACCTTAATCCCCCTGTGGGAGCCCTGGGCACCCCCCTTCCTGAGAGACAACTGGTCCCTTGATATATACCTGAGCTCTTACCTGGGTAGGTCCTACACCTGATCTGGGGCTGAGTTTTGTGTGTCTGCAAGTTGTAGAGCACTCGGTGTGTAACGCTGCCGACTGCCTGTTCTTGGGAATCTGGTAATGGCCTGTGTGTCTGGGATGCCAGCCAGGGGGCTGGCCTGGTGGAGCAAGGGGTAGCCGGGCTGCATGCACTGCTTCTCGTGCCGCTTTCCAGGTCAGCGGTTTCTACCTGCTTAGTGCAGATTGCCCAGTGCTGCAGCAGCCAAGATACTCAGGATCACTTAGGAACAAATGCATCCGTTCTCATTAATGTGGGTGGGTTTGTGGAGAAGCCTTGGCCAAGCCATGGGCATTGCTGTGATGAGCACAGAGCTCTCCAGCGTTCTCCTGAATCCCTGCTGTGCAGTGCTGCCCCTGCATCGGGTCCTTCCACCCAACCTGGCCTGGCGCTGCCTTCCAAAATGCTGGGGCGGCAGCTGTTGGCACACAGCGCAGTGCGAGGGGTCATGGCCTGACCAGCAGAACTCCCGATTCAACCCCCTGTGGAGCTATGGTCTCTCAAGGAGCTCATGTGCCTGTGGCAACTGCCTCTTTCCCTGGCCTCACTGTTGAGGCACACCTGGGTGCACATGATTCTGCTGACAGGAGTCTTCTGGTTGGGGGAGCTGGCGTGACCCCAGCAGATGGCAGGAGCCTGTGGACTGAGGGAGGTCTTTTCACAGTGCCAGCTGCTGGGCCTCAGTCTTTGTCTGCACAAGAGCGTCACCAATTCAGTCTGTGTGTCTGCAGCAGGGAAACCATATAAATTGCCACCTCTTCCAGGAATAGAAGACACCAGGCGTGGACTTCAGGGCATGTGCTGTCCCTAATGCTTTGTGTGTTGCAGTAAGGTGGGAGCCTGGTTTCTGAGAAGTCTACCCAGATGCTGGAGCCAAAGAGGGTGGAATGAGAGGCATGTACCAGGGCTGGGACACATGGAAAGGGAGACGCAGCATCTTGTTTCCAGGGGCCTGCTTGTCTGAGGCACAGAAGGGCCTCAGCTTCCCTGGTGTTAGAGCCTGGGGTGCTACTGGTAAGTGGGGGCAGAGGAGCGCTCTCAGAACATGCCTTGCTTACGTGTTGTTTCTCTCTCCAGGTGTCTCATGCAGTTGCAAAGCTTGTGCTAGTCAACTTCCACTGGCAGATCTCGGAGATCTTGGAAAGGTAAGTGTCAGGCACCCAGCCTTTGCAAGGGGTGCCCAGCCTTTGCAACTGGGGCTGTGCTAGTTGGCTTTCCATAGATGTCCACGCAACAGCGTGCCTGGTCATCTCAGTGCTGTACCCAGGGAGAGGAGGAGCAGGCTTCTTTTGGCTCCCATAACTCTCCTGTGTCTGCCTAGCCAGTGTATGCAGGGGGGAAGGAAAGGGTTGGCATTGGGCCTGGAGGCTCCTGCCCCATGTAGAGCCTGTCAAAGCCCTGCACTTGAGCTCTGCTGTCTGCTTTGAATCTGGATGTGGAGGGAGCTGCAAGGGGGGTGGGGGGGCATCGTTTTTAGGCTGGCCACCATTAAGTTTCCCTGGTAACTGGTGTATAGTTGCCTCGGGTGACAAAGCCTGCTTCCCGCGCTCCACATCTGGCCTCTGGGGAGGTGCATGCCCTGTCTAGCTGCCTTTATGGCAGCCTAGTGCTCTTCTGCCCATAACTGGGGAAAGTTGGGGAAGGACCTTTATTTTCCAAGCCTGGGCACTACAATGTGCCCCTCACTTGGGCTGGTTCTCAAGCTAACCGGCAAGCTCCTGTCTTTCTTAGCTGTTCCTTGGTGGTCAGGAGCAAGGACTTGCAAGTCCATGTATGAGCAGAAGTGCCTCACTGCAGGTGCAAAGTTCCCTCCTTGCCCCTTTTTTTTCCCTCTGGACAGGAGGGGAAGTTTGGGAAGTTGTGCTGCCCAGAAGGCAGCCATTGCAGTTAGCAGGAAACCTCCTTTGCAGGCAGGTTAAGCATGGTGGGTAATTTGGGGATTGTTTCTTCCCCTAGCAGGCAGGCTGTACAGTATGTGTGGGGGGTATCCATCAGGGAGGTTTCGGACTCTCCCTGCAGAGCTGCCATATGTCAGGCCAGGACTGCTCATCACTAGAGTCAAAGTGGCTCCAGGACAGAGGCTGATGTTGGCTAATTCTTCTTCCCAGGCACAAGTCCAATTCGGCCCAGTTGCTAGTGGAGGCACGAGTTCAGCCCACCTCATCCAAACACGTAAGTACGCTTGTTGCTCTGGTCTGTCTTTGGCAGTGATAGCCCCAGTCCTGTGCCGTGGCTCTCTGCCCAACTTGCCCCCACTAGCCCTTCAACAGAGTTGGATCTGCCACCTCAATCAAGAGACTCCAAGTGCTTCAAAGGGCCATGGGGTCTGGATATGTTCCTGCCCCCGGGACAGTCTCTATTAAACAGGTGGTGAGGTTAAGACCTGGAGTCCTGGGTTTGTCCCCATTCTGTGTATGTGTCCTGGGTGCCTTGTGTTGGTCACTGGTGTTTCCTTGCCCCTTCTGTCAGTATGGATCCTCCCTGCTGGCTGGCTGAGGGGGTAGTTCTGCAGGCAGGGGCTTTCTCTTCCCTGGCTCAGGCAGCACCTCCCATGTTGGAGGCTTTAGGGGAGGCCACTGTGGCATGTTGGATGTCTCCACACAACAAAGCATGGCTGGGGGGGGCTTTGCTTTCCCCTGGCTGTGCCAGGATGCACTTTGGTCCTGTGGGGCACTAACATGAGGCACAGGTCCCAGCTGGCATTCTTGTGTCCCCTTTGAAAAGCTCAAAGCTCTGCAGAGGGCTTTGATAAAGCACACATAACACGGAGTGGTGCAGCAGGTCTTGGCTCCAGGATACATAGGTTCCACCCCAGATTGCAGGTGTCCCGTGTACAAGCCAGCAGGTAAAGGCTACTGATGCTGCCTTGGGATGCCCACAGCTGACCAGAGAACTTGTCTAGGATGGCAGTAGTGAGAGGAAAATTTTCTCAGTGCTCAAGGGTGAAATGGTGTTGAGCGCTTGGTCTGTGCTCCTTTGTTTAGTGCTTCCCTGCCACAGGAAGACCCAGCTTCCTTCCCAGAGCATTGCTCCCTGGATCATTGGGATTGGGGTGCTGGTGACAAATGGACCAAGCTCTGCCAAGAGGCATCTACTTTAAATTTTGTGTACGGGGAGTGGGCAGGGAACTCTTTCCCTTCCCTCTGTGACAAGTGGCATGTGCCCTGGCCCCTGGCCTCGCTTGCCTTTTATCCCCTGGATTTGTCATTACATAGGACAATTGGCATCAGGTAGGGTTGTGGCTTCTACTGGCCCAGCTGGTGGGGAGATGGAAGGGAGCAGAGTGCTTCCTGGAGAAAAGGGACAGGCCCGGACACAAACCTGACGTCGGCATGAATGTGCCGCATGTGGGGGACCAGCTCATTGCAAACGTCTGTGTGGTGCAAACATACCGGGGAAAAGTGGAGCAGCTCTGGCTTGGATGCGAAGAAAGCATGTGGTGCCCTGACACCAAGGGCCCCAAAGGAGAGCCACTCAGCAAGGTGGCATGCACCTTCTCCAGCCAGTGCCAACTGATGCCTAGAGCATGTGAGCTAGGCACACATCAGCCTGTGTCCAGGGAAGCTCTAGTTCAGGCTCTGAGCCATGGTGCCAAAGGGGGCAGGCCCACTGTGGCAGGGTAAAGAACACCCAGGGCAGCTGCACGGCCGCGTTGACTTGCACCTCTGTTCCAGGCAATGGTACATTCCTCCCATCACTGTGCAGTGTGCATGCAGTTTGTGCGCAAGGAGAACTTGCTCTCTCTGGCCTGTCAGCATCAGTTCTGCCGCAGCTGCTGGGAGCAGCACTGTACAGTGCTTGTCAAGGACGGCGTTGGAGTTGGTGAGTGCAAGGCACGCGCTGCTGCGGGGCTGCGCTGGGTTGTGGGCCCCTGAGAGCTGGGTAGTTCCATTGCTGCAATAACAACTTGTTAGGGGGAGAACCAAGCAGGGAAGTGTCTGTGTGGAAAACCAGTCTGTGCCTCAGGTGTTTCAACTGGCTACTGGTTTGGCCTGACCCCAGGATTGCAAATATGTCCAAGACCTTGGCTTGGTCCCTGCAGGATGCCGCTACCTCCAAACAAATCACTACGTGGGTTTTCCCTGCTTGCGTCCCCAGGACCCCAGTGGCTTAGTCACTGGCATATGCTTGAAGCCTCAGCACCCTGGTGTTCTGAGGCTGCCCATCTTCATAATGAGCCCTTGAGACCTGGAGGTCTCATGGCCTCTGGGTGCTCACATGTGCTCCCTTTGCATCAGTGGAAGCCTTTGGTCACTAGTGCTGGCGTGAATGGCCTAGGTTCTCCTGCCCTGTCATTCACAGTGGCAACTTGGAGCGGCTGCGGTAGGGGTGTGACATCACTGAGCGGTGGTTGGCCCTGCTGTGTCACCGTCCAGCAACAGGAGTCAGGCTCCAGCTCTTCAGCAGCCTGGTAGATGCAGGGGGTGTCTCCTTTGTCGGAACTGTGAACAGACGGTCCTTGGGCACTGAGCTGAGAGCAGCCCCCTGCGGGCAGCAGCTTACAGCACATGTTGCCCAGTGCCACAGCTGCCCTTTATCATTGAGCAGGGGTCTCCTGCATGGCCCAGGACTGCCCGCTCCGAACACCAGAGGACTTCGTGTTCCCATTGCTGCCTAGTGAGGAGCTTAAAGACAAGTACAGGCGCTACCTCTTCAGGGACTATGTGGAGGTGCGTGTGCCAGGCTGGGGGAGTCTTGCTGGGCCCTCCTGGGAGCAGAGTTTGTGGGGCCCAGTCTTCAGAAGTGACCACCTGCTTTGGGGGGACCTCAGTTTTTGGACCCCAAGATGAACTGTCTTTCAAGAGAGTGAGTCAGATGTTGAGCCACCTGCCTTGAGAATTGGGACCCTGTGATCTGCCTGCAGCTGGGCACCCCAGCCATGGTGGTCCGGGTACCTGGCATCCTTCACAATCCCTCACTGGAGCTCAGTGGCTGGAAGTGTGAGCAGTGGTAGCATGGGGCTTGCTGTCAAAACACTGTGGTAATTCGCCAGATGTAGGCTTGCTGTGAGGACAGTCCAGGGGCTCTCCTGTGGGTGCTCGGCATTCCTTGAAGCAGAGGGCTCCAAGCATCTGAGCAGGGACCTTGAAGCTTAGGGCTGAGGACAAAAAAGTCCTGCAGCAGTACCTGAGATGCCTGTGGGTGGGCAGCCAGGGCAGTGATGCATGCTCTCTATTGCATGGCATCCTCTGCTCACACTACCACTCTGCGAGCTCAGAGTGAGGTTTCTCAAGTGAGATCTCACAGGAGGGCTCAGGACCTTGGGAGGGAGCAGCCAGGTGAGGGATGTCCTTTCCCAGTTATGGCAAAACCCTGAGGGGAGGGGGAGGGAGACCAGCTCTCCCAGGTTGAGAGCAGAGGATGTGCCATGGGGCAGTGGGACAGAGGGCCTGGAGTTAGCCCTCTTGGTCTCTAGGCAGTGCAGCTGTGGGAGCCTGAGCTCCCTCTTCATGAGTGAGCTGGTGCGGTTGCCCTCCGTGGCAACTGAGCACCCTCCTGAGGCAGGAGGGGATGTGTCTGCTCCAGTGAGGCCCCCTCTGGCACAGTGTTCCCTCCCTTCTTGCCCCACATGCTAACTAAGCCCTGGTGTACTTGCAGAGCCATTACCAGCTGCAGCTGTGTCCTGGTGCTGACTGCCCCATGGTCATCCAGGTGCAGGAGCCCAAAGCCCGGCGAGTGCAGTGCAACCGATGCAATGAGGTCTTCTGGTAAGGAGAAGCGTGCCCTAGAGCTGTGAGGGAAGTGCATGGAGGTGGTACCTGTGGTCTGAGAACTGGGTGCCTGTGGCCAGAGCTAAAACCTGATGGAGCGCTTGGGATGGTAAAGCCTTGCTTGAGTGAGAGGGGGATGCTTGCTCACCAAGCAGGCAGCCAGCTGCCTTTCTGCTCCCTGGTAGAGAAGGAGCCCTGTCTCCACTGCCCTGCAGGGGAAAGATGTGGTAGAAAGCTTCAAGAGCAGAATGCACCCTCCCTCCAAGGAGCTGGTTCGGGTTATCCTGTTGCTGAACACAGAGCCCAGCTTCTGTAGTATTTGGTTATGGGTCCAGATGCCAGGCTTCCTGCCATGACTGCCACCCTGGTCTCAAGGACAGACTTGCTGCTTGGCTATTATTGCAATGCCTTAGTGTTAATGGGAAATGAGAATTTCTTTCTTTCTCTCAAGCTTCAAGTGTCGGCAGATGTACCATGCCCCTACAGACTGCGCCACTATCCGGAAATGGCTCACCAAGTGTGCGGACGACTCTGAAACTGCCAACTATATCAGTGCTCACACTAAAGATGTAAGGCGGGTGCCTGGCTTCCCAACCTGGCTAGAGGGGGCAGCAGCTCTGAGCATGCTTGGAATCCTAGGCAGTTTGGCAATGGTGCTATCAAATCCCCTCTCTGGGGCTGTTGGTGCAGGAATGCCAGTGCCCTGCTGTCTCTGGCCCAGCTCCTCACTAGTGCTGAGGGCTGATCACAGAAGTGTTCCCTCTGCGTTGATCCCCTTGTACCCAGCCCTGCAAGATGAGGCATTGTTACTAGTGCAGTTGGCATTACCCCAGTGTAAAAAGTTGTAGACAGATTATGCAACTCCCCAAGCCAGAATAGCTTTGTCCAGATGGTGGAGAATTACCCCTGGAACTATCAGGGGGCAGGGGTAGAATTCAGCTGATATATGTTCCACCAGTTTGGGTTTCATCTATCTACAACTGTCATAAGGTAGTTTTCCCACAGCAAACAGGCTGCTGCTAGGTGCAAAGTGCAGTAATAGCCTCCCACACTGGGTGGGGGCCACCCTGGGACAGCTACCCTCATCCTGGTGTAACATATGTCTGTACATAGGACAGATATAGATTACGCTGCAGGGCAGGTTTGTCTGTTCAGGCCCCGAGACTGGAGCAGACATCAGGCTGCAGCCAGACGTATTGCAGAAAGGCAGCATGTAGCTGGCTCAAGGACTTGTCCCTGTGAGCAGATGGAGCATATTAGGAAAAGGGCAGAATGCCCTGGTGCAGGGAGGATAGAACGCAATTCATGATGCATGGTTCTGTCCTGTCCTGTCCATGGCTGCATCTGGTTTGGGCTGTTGCACCTTGGAGTTGAGAGTGGGGGAGTCTTTCATCAGAAGTGTTTATAGATAAAAGGTGCTGACTTTTGGGCATCTCTTCCAACAGTAAATCTGCTCAGGCCAGCAGAGTCCTTTGTGACAACACAAGCCAAGGGTGATAGTAGTGGAAGAAACTATGCCAGCACATCAGCTGAATGGCCATGGAACCAGGGCACCTGTGTGCAGCACTGCACAGTCAAACAGGCACGAGAAGTTTTTACCCTTGGTCACTGCTGGTAGAAGCAGATGGTTCTGCAGCCTGAGCCATGGTGCAAATGCTGCATTTTTGCATATGTGGGTGTAGGCACTAATTCTGAGCAGCTCAGGAGTGGCAGGTTTACGTTCTGGTCTGAGGGACATGCTAAGACTACTGGCCTTGTGTACTGGGAATGTTAATCCAGAGCCACAGTTGTGATGTGCTGAGCTGTACATCCCCCTTCCTCCTGCTGGAACATGGAGCTGTCCAGCATAGTGTGTGTGCGATTAGGGTGCAGGAATCATGGTTGTATTCTCGGGATGGTACATAACAGCCGGCTCTAACACGCACTTCTGTTTCTCCAGTGTCCCAAGTGCAATATCTGTATTGAAAAGAATGGAGGCTGCAATCACATGGTGAGCAGTTCCCTGATCACTCCAGATGTTCCTTATCCTAGCTGAAACCCTTGTGTCCTTTTGCCAGTTGCTAATGCTGCCTCTTTCCTTCTCTTTCAGCAATGCTCCAAGTGCAAGCACGGTAAGTTGCAGCATCTGGAATCCGCTCTGTGCTCCTTTCTGGAGGAGGAGGCAGTGTTCTCTCCTTTCTGCGTGACTCTCCAGTACAGCACTTCCCCTGGTGAAGGATGATGGGGTTGTTCTGTGAAAGAGGCCTCTTATCTCCCTTGCTGTGTTCTCAGTTGGTTTCAGACTCTGGTGTTTAAGTTCCATCTCCTTGAAATGCCTACACATCGGATGTCTCCATCTCCCTCTGTCATGATGATAGTAGGCACTGGTGTCTGAAAGCTTTCAGGGTAAACAGATTATGGGCCACCAGCTGACATGCGCTGCTTCTGCCATGGGACTGCAAGGTGTTAAGTCAGAGCAAGCAGCTAGGGTCACACAGACAGACACACCAGGCCACATCCACCCTACCCCATCCGTGTAGCGGCAGCCCATCTGTCCTAGGTCTTGAGTGCAGACTTACAGTGCCAGTGATGCATACTTATCCAGTTGTGTGTCGCAGAAGAACTCATGCCATCACAGAGTGGCTTCTGAGGGGTGCCAGAGCCTGCTCACCCTGGAAAAATGACTCGGGGAGGGGGGGCTCCTACACTGCAGTGTTGCTTTCAGCTACTAGATGCTGGGAACAACTGCTACACAAACCCTGTCGCAGAAGATCTGTAAAATCTCCTGCCCCAGGTCACTTCCTTTGCACTGGCAATGACTTGCGGGGTGTAGTGGAGAATGAGCTTAGGTACAGCAGTGCCTGGGATTTGAGCATGCTGGCTGGCACTCTGCAAAGAGCAGATTTCAGCCCAGCTGAGCAGGAAGGGGGACCTGTCAGGGCTGCCAGAGCAGCAGGCAATGTCCATCTGGCCTCCTTTCCAGAACAGCACTACAGTGTCTCATGCCTAAAGCCAGGAAGCTACATTTTGTGGGCTTCTGAGTTGCTCTGTGTGTCATTTTCAATTCTCACCTGTCTCTGCATTTCAGTGGCTTCTGATCTGAAGCCTTTTAAGCCACTAGAGAGAGCTAGGTCTGGTAGTAGCTGCTGCAGTCAGAGGTGAGTGCGGACCCTCTGTGTAGACTTGTGCACCGTGGGATCAGATTAGGATTATCCAAATTGGCAGACTGGTGGCACCTGGAAAGCTGCAGCTTGCTTGCAAGTAAAGCCTTCCCTGTGGTCCATGGTTTCGCCAGCATGGCCATGACAGTGAGGCGTTGGGCAGGTTGTTCACTGGAGTTGTGCCAGCAAAACCTGTTATGAGTGGGTACAGCTTTTCCCTGGGGGTCTCAGCCACTGTTAGAGTAGCAGCAGCCCTATAGCGTGGGCTGAGCTGAAGGCCACCAGCCATCCTTGTTTGTAGCGAGGAGGTGCAGCCTGTGGACGTAGCTGGTCCCAGTGTCCGGTGCTCCATGCTGACCCAAGCCATGTCCCAGTGGCACTTACAGGATGCAGTAGTCTCTGCAAGCAGGAATTCCCTATTCAAGGACAAAGGTTTGCACAGTGCTGACCACCCCTTTTTCCCCCCACCATAATGTTGCATTTGTAGTTCACAGATCACAACCTGGCTGCTCTTGGAATTGAGAAGCTCTAGGTGTTCACTGGCCATGGGACACTGCTGACAAGTTCCAGAGAAACAGCCCCTGTTTTATTTTTCTGGAAGCTGTTGTGTTGTTTGTGTGCATCAGAGTGATTGTGCTTTGCTGTTCTTTGCAGACTTCTGCTGGATGTGTCTAGGAGACTGGAAGACGCATGGCAGCGAGTACTACGAATGCAGTCGGTACAAAGAGAATCCTGATATTGTAAACCAGAGTCAGCAAGCACAGGCCAGGGAGGCCCTTAAGAAGTACTTGTTCTATTTTGAGAGGGTAGGAGACATCTCCTTGGCCAGAGCTGCTGTAGCCTTGTAATGCTCCCTGCCTGGTGCAAAGGTCCCTGCCAGTAATGTCTGTGCAAGAAACTGCCTCACCAAAGAATCTGTGCAGATACCATAATATCTTGAGCCCAGCATAGGTCAGACTTGAGTCCAACCCAACAAATCCCCAAGCTCGTGCCCTGTGTCCTCCACCAGAGCAAGCGTGATGTGTTGTTTGTGTTGCCTGATGCACCACATGCATCCTGCTTCCTTGCCCCCAGCAAGCTGCTGCTCTGTCCTCCTAGAGGAAATTGGGGAAGGTGATGCCTTTGCCCACAGGGCAGCCTGCCTGGCAGGAGAAGGTGTAGTCTCCGAGGTGGATTCCGAAGTCCATTGTGTTTTTGTAAATGCTGTGGGGACTTCCTTGTGAGTCATATGCTTAAGGTTTCTGGACTGTGTCACTAGCCAGTGAGACAGCTGCAGCACCCCTTCCCCCTGCAGTGGGCATGGCTGGGATTGGCCAAACTGAGGCATTCTGATGGAGCTTCTTAAGAAGAGAGTTCCCAATGGCCCTTGTCAGTGAGGTCAGCAAGCGCTTGCTGCTGCATTCAGATCCACCAGCTTGTTCCACATAGCATGAGCTTGTTCTGAAAAAATGACCTGTAATCTCAACCTTCCTGCCCCAGGGCTTCTGGGGAGCAGCCATGTTTACAGTGTGTCCTAGCACAGATGTTAGATTTGGCTGAGTTCATGGGAAATATTAATCTCTGCTTACAGAAGGGCTGGGTTTGCTCCCTGCCTCCTGTGGCCTGTGCAGCCTCTGGCTTGCAGCTGGGGCGTGCTGCCTTACCCCCGTCCTTGCTGTGACCAATCCTGCTTCACTGGACTCCACCCCACGTTGTTTTCTGCTTGCTAGAACTTGTCTGCCAGTGGCAGCGCTTTGGTCTCATGCCTGTGTCCCTCTGCTTTTGCAGTGGGAGAACCACAATAAAAGCCTGCAGCTAGAGGCACAGACATACCAGCGCATCCAGGAGAAGATCCAGGAGAGGGTGATGAACAACCTGGGAACATGGATAGACTGGCAGTACCTGCAGAACGCTGCCAAGCTGCTTGCAAAGGTGAGCACAAAGGGCTCATTCACTGGCAAAGGCGAGCTTGCATACCCAAGTGCTCCACTCCAGGACAGTACAGGAGAGGGCCTGTGGCCAGGGATTGCACTGCCAAACAGGTAGTCCTTCTGGGCTCAGGGCATAAACCCCTCGGGGTCAAGAAGAAGCTACCTCTGGGAGTGGCTGTTTTTCCTTGTGCTGGGCTGCTCTGTGCCTCAGAGCATCCACTGTAATGCATATGGTCATACTGGATGAGGCTCTGCGGTCATGTTTCTGTGTCTGTCACAGAAATGTGCTATGCTAGTGTGGTCTGGATCTGAGAGTCACTTCCCCCTCCTCTCTTGCAGTGTCGCTACACCCTGCAGTACACTTATCCATATGCTTACTACATGGAGTCTGGCCCCAGGAAGAAGCTGGTAAGGTGTCTGACACTCTGTTTCCAACTGCTTAACTTGGGACTCAGATGGTGGGCCAAGGGGACCCTGGGCTTGTCTCAGTCCCAGAGTTTGTGTGTGAGCTGCATAGGTGTGAAACTAAACCCTGTAGATCCGCACGCTTCGTGATGGCCCCAGATCCCAGACTGCTCTACCTTCCCACAGTAAAACTGCTGCTAAGTCCCCCTCCAAGAGCCTCACTTAAGGGTTGCTGTAGGGCAGTGCTGCATTGTGACACCTTCAGCTTATCAGCCTGTTTTCACTGTTAAGAGTCCATGTTGCTGTTCTAGTTAGTATAGAAGCTAGTGTGTACCTGGGAGCTTAGAGTTGGTCACTCCTGGCCATCGGCCCTGTTTGGGGGGCGGCGGGGAAGAGGAAGGAAGGAACAGGACCTTGGCTTCAAATGAGCCTTGTAGAAACTCCTAGGAGGAGAGAGATTGTGGACACCTGAAGAGGGAAACCAGGAGCATGTTGCTCAGCTATGCTGCTGCCAAGAGGCATCAGGTGTTTGCAGCCTGCCTTGCCACAGGGTAACAAGCTCTGGGAGGTCTAGACAGGACTGGGGTGGCCTGTGAGAGTCCAGGGCTGTGAGGATCCCGGAGCCCCTCTGGTCTCTCTTCTTGGCATTCTCTCTTGCATGGGGAGTCAGGATAGGAAGAACAAATGAGACTGACTGACCCCCTGCTAATTGCAGCTGCTGGATCCTTGGACATGATTCCCTGCTCTGCATGCTTGGGCCTAGTGAGAGATATCTCCAGCAGGTCCTGGAGACTGTGGCAGGGGGTCTGCAGCCCAGGTATTGGGGTGGGTGGGCGTTTATCTCCCTGGGGCATCATGGATGGTTGTGGCAGTTTCTTCTGGGTCCAGAGTCTTGGAGCGCTTGGGCAGTCATAAACAGAGCTGAGCAGCACCAGCCCCCAGTGATCATGAAGCTGCTGCTGCCCCTGCAGCCTTATTGCTTACTGCTTTCCCCAGCTCTTCTGGAGGTATTTTCGGCCACCTTCTGTTGTGAGAGGCTGGGCTGAGAGCAAGCTCCTCTTCTTGCGGCTGTTGGGCAGTGGCATAGTTGCCCCTTGACATCTCTAACGGTCTGTGCTGTTGGTTGCAGTTTGAGTACCAGCAGGCCCAGCTGGAGGCAGAAATTGAAAACCTCTCGTGGAAGGTGGAGCGAGCAGACAGCTATGACCGAGGTGTGAGTATTTTGGCTAGATGGTTGACAAACGACATGCAAGCCCCTGCCCAGCCTGGCAGTTAGGCGAGCACCAGGGATTAGCTTCTCAGGCTGGCCTTTGGCCTGTGGCTGCTGTGACAGCAATGCCCATGCTAGCAGAGAGAGTAAGGCCTCTGGCTGTTCCTGGCTGACTGGAAGGAGCCAGTAGTTCCTGCAGAAAGCAGCATTTAGCCCTTGCTCCAGGGCTGGTTATCTTGGTGCAGAGCCTTTGAGGTTGGAGATGTGAAGCAGAACCCCCACAAGGGGAGAGCTGGGTTCTTCTAACCCAGGGTCGGAGACCATGGGGTGCAAGGGGCACGGAAAGGTCCTTGCGGAGAGCTCTGCTCCATGTTGTGCAGACTGACAGCGCTCTCTTCTGACTCCAGGACTTGGAGAATCAGATGCACATAGCAGAGCAGAGGAGGAGGACCCTGCTGAAAGACTTCCACGACACGTAAGGTGGGAGCAGATGGCAGAGTGCAGGGGTGAGAGCGGCAAGCAACATGACGGTGGCTTCCTCGTGAGACACGGGCACCGCCTCTGGGAAAACAGCCAAGGACAGACCCACCCCCACCCCTTGCAAAACAGACACACGCAAACACCACCTCTTAGTTGGTTCCTGTTCTTATCTCTGCGTTTTGTTTCTGCCAGGCTAGAGGGCAGAGGTCAGAATGGCATAGTTCACAGGACACTTTCCTCCCGCCCTGGATGGTTTCGGAGGGAGGGAGTTTTTTCTGAATGGCTGTTAATAGTATTAGATCATTACAACTTATGTAATTTTCAACGGTTGTACAATTATACAAACAAAGCTTAGAATAACACACAACCCTTTTTAAAAATAAATTGGCAGTGGAGTGTTTTTCCTCAATAATCTGCTTGTAAATTCCACGGGCTTTTTCTCCCTCCCTCTGCCTCCAAATCCTCTTAGGCACTGAGAGTTGTGAAGCCACCCAGCTGCGTTCCCCTTTCCTCCTGTAACACGTGCTTCATAGCATTGGCCAATGACTGCATGAGGAGAGTGGCTGGTTCTCAGGGGGGCGGCTGGAGGTCTGAGCCTGAGCGCCTCTGGCTGCAGATTAATGCAGTGGTGTGTGGTATCTCTTCTGTGGAACGCCCCAGCAAGAGTTTGTGCTGCGCAAATGGAGGCATGATGGAGACGGCGTGCCCAGGTACAAGTGGGAGCCTTGCCGTCAGAGAGTTTGTCTTCTGCATGGATTTTTGCCTTACTTGTTTTACTGGAGTGCGGGTGTTCTTTGCTGCAAAGACTACAGCAGTGAGGGACTGTTAAATTGCAGCTGTCCTGACGGTGTTGGACAGAGCCTGGTGGTGTGCAGCAGCTTGGAATAAGCTGTGTTGTGTCAGTGTCTGCAGGTTGGCAAAGATCAGATCAGTCCCACCTGCTGTGTTACCTGGATAAACAAGGCTGATCCTGTTCCTTGAGACAAGGGAGAAGAGCCCTGACACATGTGGGTCATGTAGCCAGGCCTTTGGGAATGAGTGCACGGTGCTGTTGGAGCCTGTGCTGAGCCATCCTGGAAAGTAACTGGCAGACTTCACTTTATTTCTGTCTCCATGTGAATGATGCTGAGTGGATCCTGTGAATCCTATCATGTTTGCAGGGGCTTGGAGCTCTTCTACAACCTTTATTTTTTAATGTGAAACCTAAATAAATTGAGCAGATGTGTGAATGCCTTGTTCATCTTGGGAGGGAACTAACCTCAAAGCAGTTACTGTAATGTCAGCACATGAGCAGGCAGTTACATACCAGGTCACAGGTTAATAACAGGGGTAGTAGACTCTGCAAGTCTCTCTGGTGCTCTCTATCTGCTCCAGGCTGGCAGAAATGGAGTAGATGGAGTCCCCCGCTCTAGGCAGAAAGGAGTGGAATTCCCTTCCCTGCCGCTCCTGTGAGCATTGCCCTGACACAGTCCAGTGCTAGGATATCTCAATGTCACCCTTGATGGATTGGAGGGTTGTTAGTTTCTGCATAACTGAGGAAACTAGAACTGTGCTTTGGGAGCTACATTTTTCTGTCTGAAATGTGGCTACCTTGTGGCTCTGGTAGCCAGCACGGTGTTGTAGATTTAACAGTGTAAAGGTGGCAAAAGCAGAAGGCACCTTGGTTTGGGAAAGAAATAGCTGTTATATGAACTAATCCTTTGAGCAGAGTTTGGAGAGTACAACAGTGTGGAGATTCAGTGCTTTTACAGGTCTTTAAAGACATCCTGTGTATTGATGTAGGCTACGAGTTGGCATTATTGTTAAGCTAGCTGCGTTCAGATGAGATTTAGCCTCTTTGCAAGAGGTATGTGGAGGTGTCTAATTCCCACAGCTCAGCTCTGCCTGTTCCTCCCTGCGCAGCAGGTCAGCTTTGAGCAAGCATGAGCATATTTTCTCTGGGTGCTTTGTCACAATTTTCATGCGTAGCTAGAGCAGCTCCATCCCTAGCTGGAACCAACCCCTGTGGGCACTGAGAGCTGACTTGCAGTTCAGACTGCTGTGACACCTGGGTGATGAGCGCTGTGGAAATGCCCAGTGCCAGGTGCTGCTTGGGAAGCCCCCTCCCTCTCCGGGATCACCTGCAGCTCCAGCTTTGTCAGCAGGTTGTGTTCCCTCAAACAGTCCTGGCAGGGGAGGCTAGGAATTTCCTGGTTCTCATGCACAGCTCCTCTATCCACTCTCTGCCCCTGGCTCCTGCAGGGCAACTCAGGTGTCATCTCTTGCACCCTTCCATCTGCTGCTGTGCCATCAGAGGCAGGTGCCTGTCGGGAAGGAAAAGGGGAGCTCTGAAGAGCAAAGGTGAATGGCCCAAGTCTGCTCTTGTATGTGGGAGGTTCCCCCCTGCAGTGGTAGCGCATCTGTCTTGGGATGCTTTTCTCCCTCCGTCCTTGCAGCTAGCTGCTCGCTGTCCCCTTGCCAGCCTGCCTCGCACTTCAGCTTTGCTCGCAGTTGCTCCCCTCTAACAGTCCTGAGGCTTCCTAGGCAGTAACCCAGCGTTTTCTGTTGATTAGAACTGCATGACTGCTGCCCCGCACACGGGCGGGTGTGCTGTGCCAGCGCAGGGCGGGACGGCAGGAGGTTTCTGTACTAGAATTGCACACTCCAGGTTTTAGACGTTTTCAGCAGGTGATACATAGAACTTTATTTTTCGATGAGACGTGTTCTAGGGGTTTTTTTGGCTCGGCGGGGCGGCTGCAGGTTTCTCAGGTAGCTGGGGCTGCTGCGGGAGCTGAGTGTGATGCAGAGCACTGCCGTTTCCTGGCTGCCTCAGGGCGTCGGGGGGAGATGTCTGCCAGGAATAGGGGCCGCTCCTAGCCTTCCCCCAGAGGCCGGTGGGGGGCAGGCGGAGGAGGCTGCCCTTGAGATGTTTGCCAGAGGTGAAGTGGTTTATTTGAAATAAATTGTGAATTTCTAATTTTAAACGTGTGCAGAGTCTTCATTCTGCAGAGGAAGTGTGGCTGGCCCTGCTTGTGGCGCGGGGAGGGCACGACGTCAGGGCCTGAGCCAGCTCCTCATCCTTTCCCTGTGCCCGGGGGTTGTACCCCAAAGCTCAGCGTGAGCTTTTCTCTAACTTTGTAGTTGGTTTAATAAAAGGTGTCACCTCTGCCCCACGCCCGCGCTGTACCCCCTCCCCACCCTGAGGGGTGGAGGGGCCCCCGCCCCCGGTCCACAGCAGAAGATGCCTCCTGGCTGCAAGCCATCGCAGAGGACACGCGGGTTCACTGCTGCTCTGCCGCCTATCCTCCAGTGATGCGAAACACGACGCCTTTATGTCCGCTATTTTTCACTGAAAAAGTGGACGCAGAGGTGTCCGGTTTCGTAGCGGAAGACAACGGGGGAACGGTGGCCGCAGCAGAGGACAGACAACGGGATGGAGCAAGCACCGCAGGCCACACGCGCCGTCACTAGCTATGGCTCCGCCTGAAGCCAGAGGCTGTCTTCACTCAAGATGGCCACTCACGGCGGTGGGGGGGCGTGCCCTCACTAAAGATGCCCACCAACTCGCTCTTCCTCGCCCGCCCGAAGCCGGCTTGCCCTTAGCTAAGATGGCGGCATGCTTGAGGCGAGAGCGCGACGCGCGCGTGGTGACGTGTTGCCGCGGCGACGGTTGCCGGGAGACCGGCAATGGCGGCGGCAGGGGGGGCGGCGGAGGGGCGGCCGCTGC